GCCCCCCTGGTCACAGCCGACAAGTGGTGGTCAAAACTCAGCTGTGGATCCAGGAGGGCTCCCAAGTTGCGGATTGGTCAATTAACAACCATTCACAGTTATGGCAGATGCCCCCTCCCCCAAATTACTTATGACCCATCTTCGAAGTTACGACTGCCTCAGCCACCAGTAGTCACAATTGCATTTTGGTCACATGGCAACCAGTTTGCATTTGCAAGTGATTGCAGTGTCCCAATGGTCACGAGAGCACAATTGGAAACATTCTTTACTGGGTTTGGGCAAAAAAAAAGCCCATTTGGGAGAATGTATTAACAGTCATAGTGACTCACTTTATGACCATCATAAAAAAGTTGTAAAATCAAGACAGGTTATGGGTTGACCTGCTTAAATAACACAACAACTTATGATCAAAATTCCAGGCTCAATTGTGGTTATTACGCGAGGATCTATAATTCACATCTCTTTAAATATGTTGCCAACTCTTTTCAGTGTTCCTACCTTTTCTTTTGAATAGATGCAAACAAAGTTGTTTGATCACAGCCACGTTGGCCTTTCTCTCTGCTGCCTCCCTCAGATGCCCAAGCATGACTATTGATTCCCTCAGTCGATTTATTCAGATTGAGTTAATGAGCCCAAGTCTGTGGCCCAGGTCAAACTGACTAAATACTACTTTCCTTGCTCCTGACTGAAGTGAAGCCTTGCAGGAGCTCATCCAACTTGGTTAACCAATAACTGTAGAGCTTTTATTATTTCAGTGGAATTGGAAGCCAGCATAAAATAATACCATGGATCCTTTAAATCTAAAATACCAGGATTTCACCTGCTATTTGTGGATAATATCTTAAAGGTGGTTTCTTTGCTAGCATTAGAGAAGTGATTTCCCATCACCAAGATACTGATTGGTTTATCTATGTAAACATGTAAGCCATCACCACTTATTAGTTAACATTCTTTGACAAATCTTAGCTTTTTTCATCCCAAATGAGTGCAGAGAACTGGTTGCTGCCATCTGCTGTAGCTGGGCCTCTATTTGAATCCACCTTGGGATTAGTAGGTCACTGCTTTCTCTCAATTTCAATTTGTTAAGAAGCAAAAAACTGAAGATACTAAAAATAAATACATGGTTACTTTAATTATTATTGTTCTATTAAATCTAGAGTCTGCACGACTCTGGGATTTGGGTTTGATGAAAGAAATGTCTTCCTGGGTTCAGCTCCAAGTGGGGAAAAAGACACTGGAGACATGGGGGCTGCTTGGAAAGATGGTTTAT